AATGAAGAATTCAACCATTTCAAGTGAAAAAAATTTTTCAAGGGAACAATTAGAAGCTATTTGAAATGTGGTAGTATTTTACAATTCCTTCCAAGGAATATGAAAATGTGGAAAACAGAGTGAATGGACACAATTGACGAATATTGACTGTATTTCCACATCTAAATCCTTCAACTTCAATCTCAATTATCTGCATCAGTGCTGTGGTAACAATTAAACTTTACCGGACTGATTCAATCAATTTTCTAACACCCAACAATGTCGTAATCCGGTTTCGATTTATAAAATATTACATCATTTTGGTTTGGCTGGTTCAGTTTGATCATGAACTTGATTCGAACAGTCTTGACTTTCAACTCAACATTGCAGTTCATTGTCGGCCAAAAACCTCCTGAAAACTGAAGTAGGAGCTAATTTACATCATAAAAAATTGTGCTTAGGCCTTTCATTGAATATTTAAATTAATTACCTGTACATGTGATTAAGCGTGTTGGGCTATGAATTTTAAATATGCTTAAAGCTAGTAATGCTATAAAGTTAATTAAACCCAGTCCATCTCTCATTTTAGGTTGGAAAATTTTCAGTTAATTTAGTCATAATAATGCATAAGCAATATGGAAAATCCGCGTTGGAAATATTATTGTTAATTTACATCCAATAATCGAGAAAATGCTGTTTCAGCTTTTCCGCCTCGGCTGCAATAATATCGGAAGCATTTTTACATTGAAAAAGCGAGCTTTTCTATTCGTTTTCACGATTACAATAATACGGTTTGCTTGTTAAATATTTTAACGTTTGAACTAATTACGTGGAAAACCAACTATGTTCCAGTTTTGAATAGTCAGACTATTAATTAACTTCGCTCTGAATGAAAATCGTTGTTTCTCAAACTTGACCACACCAAACAAAATTACGCTTCAAATGGGTTTTGCAAAAAGTAAATTGCTTGGCCTCCACGCTCACCGATTTACCTCTCATGGTTCCTTAAGGCCATATGAAGAGTCTGTCTTTATGGAACTAATTAAGATTCGAATGTGCATGGTAGTTAATTGTGCTTTTTATAGTTACTCTGATAACTTAATTCTGGTGGAAAATTCCAATTGTAAACAGTAGCAAGCAAAAACAAAAAGCAAGAAACAAGCAGTTTTCAAAAATGTATATTTTTATGCATTTTTCTGCGTGCTCTAACAAAAAACCTATTTGTCTAAGAATTTAATATTTTATTTGCCTTTTTTACAGAACTAGCGCCAAGCAAATGTAGCATCACGCTATTGCAAATAAATTTTAGATCAGTGGACTTAAACAAATGCATTTTTTTAAATTCTTGGTTTTAAGTTTGAAATATATATTAGGTGAATTCTGGGCAGATGCGTAATCTCTTGTTTTTACACTTTATACGAAATTTGGCACAAGTTTACCATGTTTTTAGCGTTAAATCAGTGTCGTGCCCGTAGGTATTCGCACAGTTTTGATATTCAGCACTGTCTAATGTAATTGTTGTGACGACTCCTTCGCCTACACCAATGATTTGGGGCAAAATGTGAACCATTTGCAAGTATAGAGTGTTTTTAGCGTCAAGTCGTGCCCGTTCGGGTAGTTTGAGATTAAACGGCGAGTTTAATTTTTAATTTATTTGTTGTGCCTAAGCTTTAGTTTAGCAGTGATTTGGGTGTAAAAAATTTAACAAACGGCAAATTCGTGCCCGAAGTGCTTGGTACAATTTTGACGTTCAGTACCGTTTTACTTATTTGCACGGGCACGAAACTTTTTGGATAACAAAAATTGAACTCCTGCAAATTTTAAGCGTTTTTAGAGTTCAAACTCAATTTTGAGTGTTTTTTTTTAGTTTATTGTAGGTATCGGCAAATTATTAGCGTTTGTAGTGTTAAAACTAGTGTCATTGAGGAAGCTTAATTTCCCGAAAATCGACCAATTTGAAATTCATTACTGTCTAATGAATTTGTGGTGCCGAACAATTAACTGCTTTAAAATATTGATAGTTTTGAAATCTACAATGTAAATTTCGCTGTTTAGTATTTCAACTAGGTCGTTAGAATTGGTCGCATTTTTATTAGGAAAGAAACATATTTTGTTATAAATGTAAAATTGTATTTTTACTGATTATTTAGATCAAATAACAAACATATCTGAAAAACTTTTCTAAATATTACGAGAAATGTGTTTGAGTAACGGGTTATGTTGCCTAACAAATCAATACTTTATGAAACGTTAAAGTTCGTTTCACCCAAAAAACGCTTATACATTTTTGGTGCAAAAAGAGAAATCGGAATTATTTTAACTAAACGGCGTGGGCCTTTTTAAACTGAATAAATTAAAGCATCCATACAATTGTGCAAGTAGATATTTCAACAGTAAAATATTTTATTTTGCGTTGATTTTTCACGTCACTTATATGCTCACATTATTAACATTGATATAATTCAAATATAAATAATAATAACAATATAATAACAGAAAGTTTTGCAAAAAGAGATTCATAAATTTATTTTCCTTCCATCTTAATAGACGCATGAAATTTATTTCAGACACTTCAACCTACAGGATATTTTTTTGCTAATAAGGGTAATTATATCGTCGACTTTGGAACGAACAGCTTAGATGCACTTATTGTTGTCAGTTGCATTAGCAGTGTAGGTTACTTCTTGAGCTCAATTTTTAGTTGAAAATTGATTAATTTTTTGAACTTGTATAACATTTATATTATTTTTCAGATAAAATTTTTGTTTTACAAAAACATGCATTTCTCATTTCAATGTATCCAATTCATCAATTCAAATCAGCTTGCTAGTAAAATTTTATCAAAGGTTTAAGTTGCATCCAAAAATCAAATTAAGGGATTGTCCTTACGGAGTTCTAAAACTGACTGAGGATTAAGCACTTAATTTAAATTGGCTCAAACTGCAGCTTTAGATAAGTAAATATTGAACAGCTTCTGTAAGCAAATCTTCTCCTTCGAGGTTTATCCATAGTGATGCTCCTTAGAAATCCTGGTTTATTCGTTGATTCTCCTATGTTGAACCTCTGTAATTATGTGTGAAATATTTCGATAGCTTTGAGTAATTAATTTCTAATGACTCTTTTTGACTTTATTTACTTATAAACTTGCATTATTTTCCGCTTTTCATCAACCAATTTTTTCAAATCAATAGTTTCGATATTTTATTCTTGTGTTGTGATTTTTGAATTCACTCATTTAATTGAGTCCATTCCCTGTTACATTTTCCTATTTCAGTAGAAATTCTATTTCTTCATGAATTTGTTAATTTTCTATTATTTTCTCCAATGTTTGTTGTTAGCTTGTTTGTTGAGCTGTTAGAAGAGTTATTCGCAAAGTTTCCCACAAGCAAATAATATGAAAAAGCCTTAAACTTCAATTTAAATGTTCAGTCAGGGAAGAAGCCATTCAGTTAACGTTCTGGTAGTTTATTTTCCAAAAATTCCAATAAAATGTTATTTCTTTATATTCTTTATAGCTCTACATCTTCATGTTGTATTACCATATTATTTGAGCATAGCTGACGAGATCCTTTTACAGTTTTACGTGACATTCTTACCATCAGAAAGTCTAAGTTTATGTATTAAAATATCAGTAGATGATAAATCAACCGGTTTTTTATAAGTAAATAATTTAATATTATTTGTATTAAGTGCGGCAATGAAATTATCAAAGCTTTTCTATATTTAAAATTCAACATTTAATGATGTTTTCTCCTTTACCTAAGTGAACAGGCAAGCGCCACTTATAGGCTAACATCAAAATTTGATTGAGCTGTTTACATTATTGCATTTAAACAACTTGAATGGTTTTCTTTGTTATGGAAAATAAGATGCATACACCGAAAGTTGCGCTAATATTCGAGTTTTGTGTTGCCTCAATTCGTGGAAATATTTATAATAGAAAGCCCGCTGCAAATTAATATGGGTGAAGGTTGCCGATAATAAATTACTAAAATAATATAATCAAAAGATTTACTGAACAATCTCATATTTGAAAAAAAACATTTTTCGTCTACGTATTAGAATTCGAATTAAAATATAGCCTTGAAAGGATTTAGTTATATTACAAACT